AGCATCCAAGCTTAGCAGAAGGTAATTGAGCCAAAGAAGTTATCACACTTACTCATTGTTTAATCCAGAAAGAGGCCCCAACTTTTGGTAAATAGACAGACAGATAGATAGACACTGTGATTGATAGATAGATCGACAGACAGACACCATGTTTTATGTATATAATAGTGTTCTATTTTAAATACTTTTAAGAAATGTTTTATTACGTATGGAAATTAAATTTTAAATTATTTACCAGATAAGTCTTTCACACAGTGCTACTTTCAAAATTTATTTATTAAAAAGTATATTTATTTATGTCTACTGGCCTGAATGTTTGAGGAATCCTATTAAAGAAAAATTTGTGCTCTCCAGCAAGAATCAAGCCCGTGTCCCTCAGAGCAGAGGTAGCTACTATTTAGCACAGAACACCTTACCAACTTAGACACGAAGATCAGTCAATGTAGGTAAAGCCAAATTTGTGCTTTCAAGCAAAATTTCTCGAAGTTTTTCATACAGTTTCGTATTCAGATGTAAAGAAAGAATTTTAGAATGGATTTTTTATTAATCCGTCACAGTGGAATTATCGCCTTTCTTTGGGTGAATTAATTAAAAAAATCATTAAAAAAAACAGGACGTAGACGATCATGGCTGCCCTTGTCCATTGTAGCACTTCATAAACTTTTTTCTTTCTCTTATTTCTCCTAAACCCTGTTCTGCCATTCATTTACTCAAGCTAAGTATGTTATGCGTTTTTCCTATTGCCCTCTCTCTCTGTTCTGTGAGTATCAGATTTTCCAAGTCCTCTTTTCTCACTATATGCTCTAGTAATTTCAGTTGCTTCTTCCTGATGTTAAGCATTAATTTCTTTTTCGTTTCCATTTTCTCAAAGACTTCGTGTTGCTCACATGTTTGGTTCAGGGTATCCTCAGCATCTTTGTTTAGAAGTGCATTTCTCTTGCTTCAAGTCTCTTCATCTTTATGGAGATTTTCTAGCATTCACTGCCATGGAGGAGGATAGATATCACATGAGTTCAGTACGAATGGCATCTAAAATGTAGCTGAAAGATGATGCAATATCACACACAAAGACACGCAAGCACGCACGCACGCACACACACACACACACACACACTGAGACATATCTCTCTGCGATATTGATTCAAACATCGATAGGCTTCTCCTCCCAATCAGTTTTCTCTTTCTCTTTCAATCTCACCACCTTCCTCTCATTTCCTCCTCCTTCTTCTTCTTCTTCTTCTTCTTCTTCTTCTTCTTCTTCTTCTTCTTCTTCTTCTCCACCACTTTACCTTTTCTATTCGCATCCTTCTTTTGTTCCTCTTCCACCTTCTTCTTCGTCTACACCTCCTCTCCCTCCTTCTTCCTCTCCTCATTCTACTTTTTATTTATTTTTTCTTCTTCTTCAACTCTTCTCCCAATCATCATCATCCTTCTTCTTCTTCTTCTTCTTCTTCTTCTTCTTCTTTTTTCTCCGCCTCTTTCCTCTTTCTATTCTCCTCATCCTCCTTCTTCTTTTTCTTCTTCTTCTTTTTCTCCTTCTTCTTCTTCTTCTTCTTCTTTCTCCGCCTCTTTCCTCTTTCTATTCTCCTCATCCTCCTTCTTCTTTTTCTTCTTCTTCTTTTTCTCCTTCTTCTTCTTCTTCTTCTTCTAGTTTCTGCATTATCCCTTCAGTACGTGCCCGGTCATGGCTCTCTACAATGTGCTATCCTTTGTAGCCCTTACTCAATTTTGTCTTCGTTATCTCTACTAATCCCTGTTCTGCCAAGCATATATACAGGCTCATTAGATAGTCAATGCGTTGCTTTCCTCTGTCCTTCTTGCTTTCAATATGTCCCGACAGAGTCCATTTTTCAAAGCTTATTAACCATTCAGTGAAAATCTTGTTAGTAGTGCGGTTCGGCTTAAAATCCTAAATCAAGACACAAACCATTGACGCACAGTACTTCACACTAATTCGACTGGATAGTTCCACTCAATAGTTACTCAATAGTCACTGCAGTCAGTAGCCTGACACCGTTATTTTATACACCTAGCGGAAAAGATATATTCATAAGTTCAAAGTGTAGTTACTCGTTTTCTTCTTATATGACACTTATCAATACTGTATCATCTTCATATCTAATTCTGTTATGATTGTAGCCTATAATAATGAATCCTGCTAGAACTTCTATATATTTTAGAATCATCGCAGTGTAAAGATGCATGAAGTAATGCGGGCAAGTCAGATTGTCGATCTGATATCAAATTACATCAGAATAAATTTGTTTTCACTTCAGACTAATGGTGAAGGCATGAATACATCTTTTTTTATTGCTCAGTTATGGGTTAAATTGTAGGGTAGACAAGGCTCTATAGCTTCGTTTGGCCACCAGCCTAGAAGTACAATTCAAAACCTACCGCTTTGACGAAGGCAATGGGAATCAACGTAACTCTCGTAGTTGTCTAGAGATCTCATTGAATAGGAAGCGGTGGAGAGTCATCACCCTCTACGTTCTGAATCAATTTGTCATTAAGAATGGTGGAGGAGGTGGAAGAGGTATTTTTTTTTGTAAGATATACTTGTCTATCTTAAGGATACACGATGCTCATTTGTATTGTTCTTTTAATTTCTTCATAAAAAAAAATCACTAAACTCTCTCAAACATTCACACAAAGAAACAATCAATTTAGAAAATGGATTTGCATTTTTCAAATCATAGTTCACCTGCCAGTAATTCTCAAACAGAAGACAGCATTTTAAGTGAGGAATTTTGGCTTGGAAAGAAATGAGTTCCATATCGCTAAAAATGGTACTGAGTTTTTAATCCTTTTAGGGAAAATTATTGATATTTGACAAATGTTGGTCACAATTTTTAAAAAAATATATCGATTTTGCTGGATTTTGTAATTTATCCATCCAAACCAAATATAATTCCCTTGAATATAATCGTGTTAAAATTACGAGATAACAATTCAAAGAAAGGAATGAGAATCACGTCTTTAGCAAAACCAATAAGGCATTACTGATGTAACATCATTTTCAAAGAATTCTTATAATAAAATCAAGTATTCTCATGTTAAAATCATTTACAATTGATTTTTATAATATAATCATTTACAATGCATTCTAACAAACAAAGCATTTTCGATGGATTCTTATAAAATCCTTCCAATTCCCTTATTATAACAAAATCATTTACAAGACCATTTCTAATGCCTTCTTGTAATAAAATTATTTGTAATTCATTCTTATAGGAAAGACATTTCCAATGCATTCTTATAATAAAATCATTTAAAATGCATTTTATAAAGAAAACATTTAATATATACAATGCTATACAACTTCTCGTTTCTTATCTATCTATCTATCTATCTATCTATCTATCTATCTATCTGTCTGTCTGTCTGTTTATCTATCTATCTATCTGTCTGTCTGCCTGTCTGTCTGTCTGTTTATCTATCTATCTATCTATCTATCTATCTATCTTCATGACATCTATACTCGTTCATTCTATCCTTCTATCTATCTATCTATCTATCTATCTATCTATCTATATATATATATATATATATATATATATATATCATCATCATCTCTTATCACTTTTATCTCTCGCTCTGTATCTATATATATTCACCTTTATAACTCTTATCTCTCTCTCTCTATCTATTTATCTTCATATCTATCTATCTATCTATCTATCTATCTATCTATCTATTCTCGTCCCTTATCACACTTTTTTCTCTCTCTATTTTTCTATTTATCTATCCATATATCTTCATGGCAGTTACTCTATCTATCTATCTATCTATCTATCTATCTATCTATCTATCTATCTATCTATATATATATATATATATATATGTGTGTGTGTGTGTGTGTGTGTGTGTGTGTTTGTGTGTGCGTGTATATATATATATATATATATATATATATATATATATATATATACTTCATATCAATGTATATATACAATATGGGAAGTAAGTATTCAGTGCACACCACAAAGCAATTTATTCATTATTTATGTTCAAATATAGAATTTACCTCGAAATCAGACTACGTATTGGTTACGTCTTAAAACAGCAAACCTTTCAATGATGCACCTATATTCGTTTTTCTGTCTCTCTTTCGTAACCTCTCTCTGTCCCCCCCACACTCTCTCTCTCTCTTTCACATACACACATTCGATTCTTTTCCTTGTTTTCTTCATATCAGCCCCCCGCCTCCCCGCAAGAAAGTTTTCAACTACTCTCTCTTACACCCTTCTCTCCTCTTACGACACGGATACGCTCGGACAGACACAACTAATATCTGAACCAAAATTGCATCCTTCAACAAACGGGTACTTTGACCTTGGCAGTATTTATCTCAACTTAGCTGAAACAATTGTAAATTTATAAGTTGTTGTTTTTTTTTTAAATCTTAACACACCAGAAGGAAATCGACTGGACATATCAGCGTCATTTATTTAAAAGAAAATGAAATCAGAGGAAAAATATTCATTCATCTCTATGATAAGATACTGCTTTAGAACCAGCCATTTCAGAAGAAGGGAAGCAGGGAGAATAATGATTTGGAAATTCAAAAGAAAGAATGATTTCATTCCCAAATCATCCGGAGGGATGGTTTGTATAAGACAGAGGCAGGGATGATTGATTCTCAAATGTGAAGTCTTTGTGAAAGAACTCTAAGCGAATGTCTATTGATTTCTTAGGAAATTGTGTTTTTAAATAGATGTGAAGCACTTATTCTAGAGGAAGGAAAGAGGAAATAGTGGCTTCAAGGAGAATAAGAAAAAGAAACGATTTTGCTTTAATAAAAAATGGTTTAATGTAAAAGATTTACTATAGGTGAGGATTAGAAATCATCTTTAATAGGCAAAACGTTCTAAAATATGTAATTATATTCCGGTAGACATTGATTGCCATAGAAAATATTCATAATGCTCACAAGATGTCTGTACATTATCAAAGTAATATTTATTAAATACATGACTATTTAAGCAATAAAGATATAACTATAAAACGATAGACTGACGGAAAGAAAGAAAGAAAGAAAGAAAGAAAGAAAGAAAGAAAGAGAGACAGAAAGAAAGAAAGAAAGAAAGAAAGAAAGAGAGACAGAAAGAAAGAAAGAAAGAAAGAAAGAAAGAAAGAAAGAAAGAAAGAAAGAAAGAAATGTGATGATTCAAAAAAAAGAAAGAAAGAATAAAAGAAAGACAGAAAAGAAGAAAGAACGAAAGGTAGGTAGGTAGGTCTGGAAAGAAAGAAAGAAAGAAAGAAAGAAAGAAAGAAAGAAAGAAAGAAAGAAAGAAAAGAAAGAAAGAAAGAAAGAAAGAGACAGAAAGAAAGAAAGAAAGAAAAAGAGAGACAGAAAGAAAGAAAAGAAAGAAAGAAAAAAGAAAGAAAAGAAAGAAATGTGATGATTCAAAAAAAAGAAAGAAAGAAAAAAAGACAGAAAAGAAGAAAGAACGAAAGGTAGGTAGGTAGGTCTGGAAAGAAAACAAAGAAAAGAAAAGAAAGAAAGAAAGAAAGAAAGAAAGAGAGAAAGAAAGAAAAAAATGAAAGAAAGAAAGAAAGAAAGAAAGAAAGAAAGAAAGAAAGAAAGAAAGAAAGAAAGAGAGACAGAAAGAAAGAAAGAAAGAAAGAAAGAAATGTGATGATTCAAAAAAAAGAAAGAAAGAATAAAAGAAAGACAGAAAAGAAGAAAGAACGAAAGGTAGGTAGGTAGGTCTGGAAAGAAAGAAAGAAAGAAAGAAAGAAAGAAAGAAAGAAAGAAAGAAAAAAAGGGGTTGTTTCGTTGGTAATTTTTCATCTGCCCGCTGTAACAGTAAAAGTGTCCAAATCGTGTAACAGCAAAATTGTCTAATTGTTAGATTAAGCTTTGAAAATTTCAAATTGTTTCTGTTATTTGTCTTCGGTTAATATGCGCTATCCAATTTAGTTGTTGCTGCTGTTTGAAGTCCTCAAATGATGTTGTATCTGTTATCTTATACGGTTCATTAATCTGCAGCGCATGTCCACCATTTTCAAGCTCCCTCTGAATCCTACAAGGTTAATTCATTCGAAACTATTTTTAATAATTTATGTGAGGAAGCGGCTGTATACAGTTGACAGTTCGGACATTTCTGAACAGCTTTGTCGTCATGCATGACATCGAAATGAACATGGAGATCTGACAAGTCTATTGAATAACACGGCTCGAATATGTAGATTAATGTTTCGGTTTATTCGACGCTGATGTTACATCATATTTCTGTTTTATTATTAATCTTCACGTGCGGTGTTCATTTCTGTGTTCATGCTGACGCTATATATCTATGTCTCTCTCTCTCTCTCTCTCTCTCTCTCTCTCTCTCTCTCTAGTTCTCTTTTCTTTCTCTCTATCTACCTCTCTCTCTTTCTCTTCCCTCTTTCTCTCCCTCTCTCTCTCCGTTTCTCATTCCCTCACACTCCATCTCTTTCTTCTCTCCTTCCTTCTCTTCTCTCTCTCTCTCTCTCTCTCTCTCTCTATATATATATATATATATATATATATATATATATAACTGTGTGCATGTGTGTGGGTGTGTATGTATGTGTGTATGTGTGTATATATATATATATATATATATATATATGCATATATGTGTAGGCTGATTGCTGATTACTGATTACAAGACAGTATGTATATATGGGGAGGGAATTTACATATGCAGGCTAACAGGGATAGGAAAACATCTCTCATCAATACATTTATTATCATCATCTCTCATACCAAACGTATGGTTTTATTAACACTTAAGTAGAAATTCACTTTTGCCAACTGTCCAGATAGGTATTTAAGTTTCACTAACAGATACAGAAAACGAACAATGACACATTAAAAGAAAATAAGGAAAACTTATTCCTTCAAAAAAAATGTATTCCTTTTATTTGCCTTGAAGAAGGTCACGAGACCGGAAACCCGTGTAGCAGAAATATAAAAAATAAAATAAATGTACTAAAACAAATCCAGATTATAAACAATATATATATATATGTATATATGTAGGTTTAATGTAAAAGATTTATATAGGTCCAGATTAGAAATCATCTTTAATAGACAAAATGTTCTAAAGTATGTAATTATATTCCGGTAGACATTAATTGCCATAGAAAATATTCATAATACTCACAAGATGTCTGTATATTATCAAAGTAATATTTATGAGATGCATTGCTATTTAAGCAATAAAGAAATCCCCCTGAAACGATAGACAGACCGAAGAAGAGACAGGAACCTTTGTATCTGAGAAATGATTAAAGATATCTTAATGGAATTCTCCGAAATTTTTATAGCACTACTGAACTCTACAGAGAACAGTAAGAATGTATTTAACTCTAAGTTTAAATGATGAGTCCTCTTGATGTTGTGACGTCCTGATCCAGATTTCCTCTCTACTCTTCTCTCTTTTTTAAAATTATTCGCCGTTCTCTTGATGGTTCTTGAATCGACGTTTAAGATGAAAGCCAGAGTATGAATGTTGGTACAATTACTGAAGACATGCATGATCGTTTTCCTCTCACTATTGCTCAGTTGGAAAGACATAGCGGCGCTGACAATTTCTAGCTGAATAACTCAAAGAGTATTTCAGTGATTCATACCCCAAAGATGGCTAAACATATTATCTGAAAACCTGGCAAAAAAGAAACTCAATTAGTTATTGTGTTTTTAGATATCCAACATTTTATGGGATGAATAATTATCGCATGCTGTTACACGAATTAGACAATTTGGCTGTTACAACTGGTATACAAATTTATACGAGACCAACAAACTGTCTTTGTCAAGTATATTTTTTCTACAGTTCAGATCAGTTTCCTGTTTTCCGAGTAAAATGAGACAATAAATTGTGCTTTGTCAAAGTGCTTTTACTTTTGTTTCTGTTTCTTTGTTGTTGTTGTTGTTGAACAATGTCAGTTTCAGCTTCTTTTTCAAATATTGCGTAACTGTACGTGAAAAACAAACGGAACAAAAACACGAAAGAAGACGTAAAGCCTCCTTACAAAAAAAAAAAAATAAATAAATATAAGAGGACTGGAACTTTCACGGCGGGTACTGCGTTAAGACTGATATATATCATAATGTGTTAATACTGCGTTAAGCCTTATATGTACCATACTCTCTTAAGACTGATATATATCATACTGCGTTAAGACTGATAAGTTACGAATTAGTGATCGGGTAGGCAAACTACAAACTAAGGAAGCCTATGTCTTGTTAAAGGACCATAAACCCGAATTCAAAACTAAGCCATCCACTAGACTTATAAATCCTACAAGACCAGAAATCGGTAGGATTAGTAAGACCATCTTAGAAAAGAATCAACCACTCCATAAAAACACCTTTGGACTGCTACATATGGATTAACACAAATGATGTCATCAACTGGTTTAACAACATACGATATAAGGGAAATGTTCATTCATACAGTTCGATATTATCGACTATTATCCCTCCATATCGAAGGATCTTTTCACCTTGGCATTGGACTTCGCCCGGGAATATTCTACTATTTCTGAGTGTGAAATTGACATCATTATGAAGTGTCGAAATTCTGTTCTAATTTATAAGGATGAACAGTGGACCAAAAAGTCTTCCAACAACAATTTTGACATTTCCATGGGTTCTTTGGATTCTGCTGAAGCTTCGGACTTGGTTGGATTATTTCTTTTATATAATTTAAGTGCCTTTGATTGTCTAGATTCAGATAGTGTAGGATTATATAGAGATGATGGATTATTAGTTGTTAAAAAAACTCAACTAAAATTAAGGTAGACCGTATTAGGAAAATGATCTATAAAGTATTTAAGGATTTAGGTCTTAGGACTATAGTTACTACTAATGTTAGACAAGTGGATTTTCTAGATGTCAACTTAGATCTTTGCTAACAATATTTTCCAACCATATATGAAGGTTAATTCCAACCCATTATACGTGCATCCTAATTCCAACCATCCCCTTCGGTTATCAAACATATACCCTCTTCCATTGAATTTAGAATTAGCGCTAACTCTTATAATAAGGAGGTTTTCAATAAACATAGTGATTTTTATAATTCTGCACTAAAAAATAGTGGATACAAAATACCACTATTCAATATAAAAAACCCTGTTAATTGCAAACATAATAAGAAAAGAAGATCTAGAAAGATTATTTGGTTCACCCCTTTCAATGTTATGGTCAAAACTAAATTAGGGCGTATATTTCTAAATCTAATCAAAAACATTTCCCCAACCCTGAAACTAACCCACTTAGTAAAATATTTAATCCTAATACCCTTAAATTAAGCTATAGTTGTGCTGATAACCTGGAGCAGATAATTAAAAAAACATAACAACATAGTCTTTAACAAGTATAGAAATTCAAAAGGCTTGACTAATCAACAGGTTACTAACTGCAATACTAATTATAAGAATACTAATAACAACTCATATAATTGTAGGAATCCGAATAATTGTCCACTACAGACTAACTGTGGAATTACTTCTGTAGTCTATCTTGGTACTATTTCAACAATTGAAAATCCAAATATAAAGAAGTTTTACATTGGTTCTACCATGAAAACATTCAAGGAACGCTGGCGGGGGCATATGCAATCCTTTAATCACAGTGAATATAGGTACATGACTTCATTATCCTAGTATTTTGGAATCTAAAAGATAAGAACAAAACACCTACGGTTAAATGGAGTTTGGTTAAGAAAGCTCGTACATGTAACTCCCTATATACCCCATGTTACCTATGCCTTAATGAAAAATTTGAAATTATTAGATTTAAAAACAAGGCTGATCTCTTAAAATCAAAGATATGAACTGACAGTAAATTATAAACACCGTTATAAATTTAACTTAGTGTAGGGTCGTATACTTTAAATGATAATGATATGTCGCTGTATTTTTAATAGATTAGTGTTTTTTTATTGCATGATGGTCATACTTACGATATAAGTGTGTATTGTATACCTGCATAGTGTTATTAGTGTTGGTGCAAATGTGTTTATATTTATTTATGTGTTGGTTAGAGTATTTGCACTGAGGAATGTGTAGGTTGGTGTATGTGTATTTATTGTTTTTTTTTTTTTTTTTTTTTAAATATATATATGTGTGGGTGTGTGTGTGTATGTATATATATGTGACTGTGTGTGTATATATGTATATATATTAGGTGGGAAGGTATGGTAGATGATAAAAGAAGAGGTTAATAATTGTTACTATATATGTACGTGTGTGCCTATATATGTACGTGTGTATGGGTGTGTGTATATGTATGTATATATGTAAATATATATATATATGTATGTATATATATATATATATAAGTGTGTGTGTGTGTGTTGTATATATATATATATGTATATATATATATATGTATGTATGTATGTATATGTATGTATGTGTGTGTATGTGTATATGTATAAATATATATATGTATATGTATGATAAAATCACGGCAGTATAATGGTTGGACAGCATGGTTCATGGGATTGGGTGCGACTGAGTAATGAATTAGTTCCTCACTGAGTGCCTCCCTTGTTTTCGGCTTTACGCCACTATATATTTGTATATATATATATGTCTGTGTGTGTGTATGTATGTATGTATATATATATATATATATGTGTGTGTGCATATATATATATATCTGTATGTCCTATTTTATTGGGTATGTATATCTATATTTAAGTATATTTCTGTTTGTATGATTGTGTTTATATATTTGTATGTTAGACTATATGTATATTGGTGTGTGTTGGTTTTTGAAGGTATATTTATGTATCTATATGTTAGTACGTTTATG